TTTTTTTTTTTTTTTTATCTTCCGTGCTAGTAGAAGCGATAGCTACGCGCGCGTGTACTTAAATAATTTGTTTGTTTCATCTGTCATTCTATCTATGGAACGGCGCCAATCGCTCCGACGGGAAAAACACCTTTGCTCCGGACGGGATAATACATCGCAATTCGGAGCGTCTAAAGTATTTGTTGCAACGCGTTAAAAAAAAACTCGACGAATGCGGTACGATTCTTAGTAAACAAAATTCCTACAATTACGAATGTTGATGTAATTTATAAAAAAAAAAGAAAAAAAGAAAAAACTGTGACGTCGATTAGGTTTGCAAATGACACCGTCCATTAATAGCCAGTGGCCTCCGCTTCTCGCCTGCAATTTCATAAAGCCCGTTCCGCGATGGCAGAGGGCTCGACCGACCCTGCAGGGCTTCGCGCGACGCAGATTAAATGCACTTCATGTAAAATTCAACGCGACCCGTGCGGCCTCGAGGATACTTTCGTTTTTAAAAAGTTTCATTAGTCCAGGGACAATTTTTAGTTCGAAGCGTAGTCAAATAAAAATACCTGTCGCTACTGGTAGAAGATCCGACGTTCGAATGGATCGACGAACATTCTTTGCCGTCTCAAAATTTTAAGCGAGGCTTGAGAAACACGGGGAATCGAAGGCGCAAAGCGGTAAATTAGGAGTCCATTGCTAGAGCACCTGATTCGGTGGAACAAAAGCCAAGAACCGAGGAAAGAAAAGCGCGGTGAAGTCGGGGCAACGTTTTCTCTCGATTTGCAACCCTTTCACCGCGCAACGGCCAGCAAGAGGAACAGGTAACCGAGGGAGAAAAAAAAGTATCGCCGGTGGCCGAGGATTTTCTCTAAACACCGCGATATATCGATCCTGGAAGGAATACTTTCACGGGCGCATCGGGTCCGTCCGCGTCTGTCGGTCTGTCCGTCCTTTCGTCCGTTAAATACCGCAGCATCGCGAAATTAAAATATTGATCGAACAGCGTCGCGATGGAGAATACGAATTGCGCTGGATAGAAGAGAAAATCCCCGGATTTTTCCGTCGGACGGACCAACCGGTAGGAAGGGGTGCGAGGGTGGCGATAGGAGGGAAAACCGGAGGAGGAAAAAGATTGCGGTCCAGCCGAAAATTCGAATGTCAATAATGACTCGTCGAACCGAGCCGCGCCAAGTTAGTTCGATATCGAAAGTTCGTCGACTTTTATAGGCTTTGTTTTGAATCGGCGTCCCATGGAAGAGTCCGCGTTCGAGTACTGCATTTGTTTACGTCGTGGTTCAGGGATACGATTTTTAATCGAGGTTCACTCTGATCGTCTGGTCCAAGACTGCGGCGCAACGAATTAATCGCGAACGATCGTTTCGTTCTATTCGAATGTAAATCGATTAACGCTAAGGACGGAAACCGTGGGTTGGAGAACGCCAGAGAAAGTTCTTGCGGTAGTTTTAATCGCGAGGATAAGTCTCCGCCGAGTTTTGGGGAAAAGTTACGCGCGGCTAAAGTTTCGATTACACTCGACTGACTGTTTTCTTAGTTCGCCGGTAACTTCCGGGAGATCCTTCGAGGAGCACCGTTTCCTCTTACCGGCGACACTTTATTAAAAGCCCGTGGTCGTTCGTTTTTCTTCGGAATGTCCTTCCATTGAAATTACGATAAAAGCTCGGGATTCCGTCTATAAAGCTCCAACTTTCTTCCTAACGCAGCCTGCAAAAAAAGCCTTGTTCTTCGATTTCCGGATGTTTTCCGATAAACTGAACCGCGAGGCTCGACGTTTTGTTAAAATTTATACGACGAAAAGAGTGTTGTCAAAGATTTTTCAACGAATTTCTAAATTCCGAACGTCTCATTCTTGCTCGCTCGTCGATTTTTCAAATTTTCGCGACACCGTTAATATCCTTCGGTCGGTCGGGATAGTTCTATTAATAAGCTGACCGATGACGATCGTTATAGGACGATTGAGAACTACTGGCTTTACGTTGAGCGATAGCGCGTCACGAGGACGCTTCGCGCCAGAAATAGGCTCAAACCTCATTATTTTTATTCTTAACCATGAAATTAGCGAGCACACCTCCGACCGTTAGATTTTCCTACAGTCGTCCGACACTTGTTTCGGTGGCTAACGAACGCCACTCCGTCGCGCGAATTATTTCAAAGCTAATTTCGAAGAGAAAAAAAGTTATTCGTCGTTGAAGGACTCACCTGGAGTTCCTCCTTGCACTGTCGTTCCTCTTCGAGACTCATCCGCTTCTCGTGCTTCTTGTAGTAACGCCTCTTGGCTGCTTGTAGGTTGAACCACGTGTACGAGAAAGACTTCACGAATGGTAGGAGGGCCTCAATGAATGGATGGAACTCATCCTGCGAGCAAACGATAACAAACTGATTAGCAACGCGGCTCCCAGGCGCGTTCGACCCCTCCGAAACGAGATTCGACTATCCCCGCACCTTTACCCTTGTCGAGGCCTTTGTTCAATGTTTACTTGCTTCGCTCTCGGGCAAAAACACGTCGTCGTCGTGCAAACGACTCGAATCGAGCTTACGAGCAATTCCAAGAATAGACAAACACTCTGCAATCGGTATACAGAATATCACGGTACGGTATACGAAAATTTGGTCAACATTTTAACAAACGTGGTATATCGGGCGACATCGAAAGTAGGTATATCGAAACGATTGACTCTCTCGTTCTCGGGAGGCGACGAGGTTGTCCGTTTATCTCTTATACGTATGTCATGCATCGATCGCAAGTTAGTTCCATGCAAGCCACTTGATTTTACCATGCAACAGAGGACGTATTATTCAATTATTTGGAGATCGATCGAAAGAAGCATGCCGAACTTGCATCAGCAAGAAAAATTAACCGTACGAGACACGTACAGAATCCCTAACGATAAACGCCCGTTCGATACGCGAGCTTTTCGTTTCCATTTCCGTTTCTCTTATAAATCTTTCGTCAATTTTCTTACTATCGTAGAAATTTGTTTACCGAGAAGAGTCGAAATTACAGCCTATCATCCAGTTATCAATTTAACTAAAGCGTCTTGGTCGTATCGCGAACCATCTGTCCAATCTTCGTGTATCCTTGCGCAACGTGGAGCCTCGACTCGCGAGGACTGAAACGAAAGCAATCTCGAAACCGCTACGATGCATGTATCGTCAACTGGGGATTTGCTCGAAAACGAACGATAAACGAAGCGAAGAGCCGGCAAAGTACGTAGCATCGGGTTCCAATTAGTCCAGATCCATCACTGGCCCAGCAAAGGTCGAAGGCGTCGAAATCTCGTTTCGACGACAGACGATTTCCCGAGCGAACCGGAAAAAAGGGTCGCGAACGTCGGAAGGAAGCTCGTCCCGGCTCGTCCCTTATCGCAGCCCTCGAGTCTCTTCCGGGATCGAAACGTCGATGAATCTCTCCTTCCGGTCGCAGGACGACGAGGGAAAAGAGAGAAAAATGAAAAAAAAAAAGAAAAAAGAAAAAAGAAAAAAGAAAAAAGGCCACTCCTCCGTTCGTCGATTGTAGGTCGAGGATCGAGCTTTTGCACAATCTCCGAGAAGAATGGATCCCCGTGTCCCTTTGTGAGGCAAATGCGGGTGGCCATAGAGAGTCCTCCCCCGTGACGATGGGGAGGGATGTAAACATCATTTCACGGAAGGATCAATTTTCGGCGTATATCGGCGGCTCGACTTCTCTATGGAGCACTCTCGCATGAAAATGAGCCCCGCTCGCGGAATATTCATCGTTGGAACAATAACGTATGCGCACTCTCATCGGCCCCCCTATCCCCCATCCTCCCTCCCGCACCCCTCGCGAATCTAACCCCAGGCAACCGAGCGAAAGCCATCGAGTTGTAACGACGTGCTCGATCGACGGGTTAACGACGCGTGACGGCCGCGCTGGAGAGCCGAGGTGTCGCGAGGGCCGAAGACACCGCTCTTTTTCCCACCCTTTTTCCCAATCGCCAACCTCGAATTATAGGGAACGCGTTAATTTTTGCTTGCGTCGCGTTCTCTCCAAGAGTAAAAGGAAAAGAGCGTAGCGAAAAGAAAACGGATGCCTATTGTAAATAAATAATAGAAAGCTTCGAAGTGAAAGAGGAGGCAAGTTGGGTAAATCGTCGCTCTACACCACGACGAAATTCCTCGATAATCTCCTCGAGTTCTCCCCGGCGGCCTGCAGATCGGCAATTACGATCTCATGGAATAAGCAACGAGTACAAGGATCGGGGAAGAGCAACGGCAAAGGGGAGGATGGAAGAACACGAGGGTGGCCTGTGAACAAGCGTCAAACGACACGAACCATCGAGTATTCGCAAGCACTGCGGCTGCTGTGGCACACTACCGTCTGTCTGTCCCTCCTGCCGTCCGGCTGTCAGAAGCACCGATTCTCGCAGTAACAACCGTCAGGGTCGCAATACTCCTCCGCCACCCTGTCGCAGATTGATCGTGGCCTCATCTGCACCACCGCCTGTCTCTCTCGCTATTTCCCACCCCCTGTTTCGTCTGGATCCGATCGACGAACCGACCTCGGGTCGGTCCAACCTTTTCCCGCGCAAAACTCTCTTCGAACGTTTCGATCTATCGTACCCGATCCACTTCGGGATTCGGTCTCTTCGGTGCGGTACCAGCCTGGTGAGAGATCAGCGCAGCTTTCTCCGTAGTATTTCTTCGCGATGGTCGGAACTCTGCAGGATTTATTCGTCTCGCAGACACCGAGGATGATCTCTTCGATTCGTCGGGGTGTAATCCTTGAGTGCCCGATTCGACGTCACACCGGTGGCGGGACTCTGTTACGAGAAAAGCGATCTCGGTTTGACGGATAGTCGATCGACTCGATCGATTTCGGCGCTACCTCGATATCGGTTGTCGCGCGCGCGGGTAAACTTGATCGTGGCTCGTGAAAGGAAATCGTTCTTCTCCTCCTATTATTATCAGACCGTGGACTTTATGCATTTTAGTCGCGCGCGAATACCTTAACGTTCCGGTTTTCACGCAACCGCGGACGATACGTTTGCGCGGATACGCGCATCTATACGACACGCCGTTATTTTCGGACGCCGACGAAAATCAAAGGCGCTAAAGAGGCGGTGAGGCCGTTACCGTCGTCATCGCGGAAAAGGAAAAGACCAGGGCTGGCAAGGACGCGGAGGCAGGGGCCCCTCGGGCACGACTCGTCCAACCTTCTCCGTGTTCTAGGAACGAACGAACCGAATTGAAATAGCAAATCGTAAAAACAAATTTAGATTCGCCGACATTGATTCGCTTTCATCGGAGAGTCTGTAACTTTGCTGTACCGAGAAAAGAATGTAAATTTGTCGAGCATGGGGAACATTCGGGAACGACTCGTGGCGAGTTTTGGTCGCGAAAGGGGGCGGTCGAGCGGGCGCACGTGTCGCGCGAAACTTCTATTTCTCCGTCTCGTTGACGGAGACTACGTTTCGCGAAAAGCGAATCGACGAAGAACGAACGACATCCGAGGTAACTTTATCCTTCGCGAAAATTGTAATAATCGCGGGATCGCTCTCGTCTCACTGGCCACGATCAAATTTTGGATCGTTGAAAGTCACGCGAGGTCTCTCGGCCGAGTTTTCGGTTACTTACCGACGAAAGAGTCGTCCGTAAACCCGCGCGGAGGTTTCGAACCGTCGCGAATTCCACGAGAGGAGCCGCGACGAGATCGACTTTCAGCCGCGGCTGGCGCGGTCAGCTGATCCTCCGAGGACCGTCGCGAGTCGTTCCTAGAGGAACGATATTCGCGTTCCCGGCGAATTAGTCACCAACGAATTAGCGTTACTCCTCGGTCACTGAACCGATCGTTTCGATTGCACAGAGTACGGGGTTGATCGGTGGTACTACGACGAGCCTCGACACTGATCCACTCGATCCGAGGATCTGGTTGCCTGCCAATGGGTTTGCTCGATCGGTTCGTGCGCACTCCGCACCGTGCCACTCGATCGAGCTTCGATCGAGCTTCGATCGAGCTCCCTCGAGTTTTTCACGCGTCGCGAACAGTAGGAACGGGTGTGATCGCGAGCTGCGAAACGCGCGACAGCCCCGAAGAGATGCCGAAGACGAGCACGAAACGGTAAACGGAGGGAAAATCGACAGAGGCAGAGAACGAACCGCCAGGAGGACCGTCGACGTCGGAACGACGGGTACGACGTCGGTCGTCGCGACGACACTGAGACGCCGGCCGTCGGGACGCGCGTATCTGAACGCGCGCCGAAGGCACCGCGCGGCGGCCAGGTACGGCACCCCAAACAGTTATTAATAGCCTCTGTCCTAGCTTACTAGATTTGCCCTCGAACCGACGCAACTTCTTCACCCCTCCACCTCGCCCTTCTCCTCCTTAAGACGCTACCCCCTCTCTCGAGTGCCATGCTTACTCTCCCTCCGACGCCGACGCTTCTCTTCGACGATGCGTCGTCCTCCGGCTCGCGATCCTTTCTCGCGGATCGAGAACGGAGACGAGCAAAATAACGTTCGAGGAGAAGTAATCGTCGCGATTCCTTCGATAAATAATTCACCACCACCCAAATGTGCGATTTATTGCAAACGTATCAGCAAAACGCCAAAATGCTTTTATTTTTATCCGAATAAGAATTTTGCACGTCTCCGATAGACAGCCACGCATTCTATCTCTTTCTCGATCCCGTTCCGTTTTTCGCCCACCACCCCCCTTTTTTGCTTTCACGTCGAGCTTTCCAATTTCCACCGTTCGACGAATGCGGTTCACCCTTTTGCGGTCGGAATTTGTATTTCATTTGTTTCGTTCTCTGCTCTTTTTGCTTCGAGCTCCCGAATTTCGCAGATGGTGGAGTTTGCGAAGAATCTCGGAAACGAACAACTACTACACCCTCGCATCGGCTCGTCGACGAGCAGTAAAATTTTCACTGCGACACTCGGCGATGGTACCTAACAAGGGAATACCTAAGGGATCGGCAAATTGCGCGAAACTCGAGGAAGAAGGGAACTCGGTGTACACGTGATTCTTGCCACGTTTTAATCCCCCGCGGAGCTGCTGTCCTGCCCGCCGTATTCCGCGTCAATAAACCCGCGAAAAAACGATGAACCGGACTTTTCCGAAACGCTACTAAAAATAGTCTCGCGTTGCGAGTAAACGTTCGATTCTATACAAGTGAAAAAAACCCTCGATTCTTCGAGACTCCGCACGCTCGGCTAAAAAAGTTTCTCTCGTTTCGCTTTCGAAAGCTACGAACAAGAGACTCGGATAACATTTCGAAAAGTATCAACAATACCGGTAAATTGGTTCAGGCCTACGTATCGTCTCGCACGTTTCACCGGCAGGTACGAAACACTCTGTACTCGGTAACCGGGAAACATCCCCGTTGGTACCAACAAGTGCGACAAGTCCCGACTCGTCGACGATTCTCGAAACATGGCTCGCCTCGCGAATTCCGAGACCCTGGAAAACTCATCCCCCATAAATTCTCCGAGAGTCGCGATCACGCGTCGCGGGGTTAAGCGTTCCAAAGACCCGACGACGACTCTCCCTCCCCGGAAACGAAGTAGTCAGCCTGGTGGAACGGGGGTGGGTAGGCGAGTTCCCAGCACGCAGTAAGAAACGGACAGCTAGATGTCGGACGTTCGTAGAAGCGTGTTTTGCGGAACGGTCCGCGTGGCTTGTTCCGCTGGATCGTGGAGGAAGAGGAACAAGAATAGAGGGTGAGAAGAACCGACGGCGTCGGCCGGAACAAGAGGAAAAGGAGGAAGAAAAAGACGAAGGGGGGCGAGCACGCGGCTGCTGGCGAAGCCGATCGATAGCCAAACTCTTCTCCGACCGCCGCCACGTAAGATAGACACTGACATAGACCTCCGCGTACATGGAGACGGAGACGCGTTATGCACGGACCACCCCAAGCATGGTACACACGCTCGCCATTTTTTATACGATCCATCCCTCGCTATGGCCGAACGGGCACCGAACGGGCACCGAACGGGCACCGAACGGGCACCGAACGGGCACCGAACGGTTCCCAAAGATAAGACAGATTGGCTCGCCGGTATTCCGAAACGAAACCAGCCTACCCCCTGGTTCCGGCGACTTTAAAACAAGCATGCTTTCTTCGCGACGACAGGAGAACTCGTTGTCTTTGGAAGAGGAATCGAGGCATGGATCTTCGACGACCGAAATCTAGCGACGCGTGTTCGTACCGACTTTTTTCAATTTCCTCGCGCCGAATCGATTCCTGAAATACTTCCCGTGTACAGCCACGGACGCACATCCTGTATACGCGAGATTATTAACGCTTTAACTGCCGTGTCATGCTTTTTCGCAACACGTTCAGCCTGGGTGACCCATATACCATTTTCGTCCGGCAGTTAAAGCGTTAAGTTTCGACGATTCTCGTAAATGTCAGTCCGATCGTTTTTACGTAGATCGAGCCAGTGATTTCTACGATTATCGCCACCAAAGGGAACAGACAAATAGAATCTTTCTGGAATTCGTAACGAATTCGTAACGCGAACGAATTTTCCCTCGATGATCGAGGTTCGCGGTGACGGGAATCGCGACGGTAATGCACCGGCTCGACGTATCGGAGCATACCACCCCAGAGTAAATATCGCTTCGTCGCACTAATGACTGTTCTAAGTTTGCTGGAGACGAGGACGCGGGTTCCCCGAGGACAACGAACCTCCTCCGGCTATATCCACGCGACATTTCACCGCCCAAGTGGGCTACGAAATTCCAGATCGTCGCGGCAAAAAGTTCTCGAGACTGCTCCTTGTGCGTACACCTAATCGTTTCCCGTCGCGATTGGACAATTCCGAGACGAAAGTGATGATTAGTCAAACATTTTACGATTCGTGTTAAAATCACGCTCTTGATCTTGGAAGAAGGGAACGCGTGAAAAAAACGTTCGAGCTCGAGGAGACAACCTTCCTATTCTCGTTGAGGGGTAGCCTGTTCCGGAAAGCGCAAGAGACTGTTTTACGCGTATCAATCGCAAGAAAAAGTGTCGAATCTATCGACTTATAATCGTATACATATCGACACATATTCGCGCATGCTTCTATTACATGCTCTACTACTCGTGAACGCGTTTTTGCGAACAACTCGAAATCGACGAAACTCTATCTACACCTTGCTCGACTTCCACCCGATTCGTCGAGCAGCTAGCGCAAAGCAAACAGCGCGGACCAAGCAAACAAACCCAACGGTAGACAGCGGAAGGACGGGACGAATAAGTGCAATCTAAATATAAAAAAATGAGATTGGTCGGAGCGTGTGACGCGGTCCACCGTCGCTTAGGTTACGCAAGATTCGTGATTATCGGTATAAATAGGTGTTTCCTTACATAATTACTCCGGCAGCCGCGGAGTATCGCGCGCGCACGCGACGCCACGAAAACGAAAGCTGCATTGCTGAAAATCAGCTGACGAGGGGATCGAGAATGGAACTCGCCGCGATCGGGATATGACAAGCACGCGGAACAATTCGGACAGGTTCGCGTGCGCGCCGCCAATATACACCTTGCGACGTGTTTATCGTTTTACGGTACGGTTACCAATGTTTTTCCTCGGTATAACGAGGTTTTCCGTACAAGGAATTACGTATCGGTAACGAATTTCCCGTTGTATCAATTTCCCGTCGTTTCAATTTTACACGTTCATCGGTATTTACACGTCGCTCGCACAAGTGCGCCAAGTCATCGACACTCCCCACGCGTAATAACCGCGACCCTCTTCGTTAATCCTCTTCCGACCAGACTTTTTTCATCCCCCTTCCTTTTTCTTCCGTCGCGAGAAAACTTACGAGAGCCGCTCTTGTTCCACGAATCAAACGTTACCGTTACGCGATACAATCACGGCAATAACAGCCCCTCAAATATTTTCCTGCGTCATTTACTACACTTTTAAACGAACGTTCGAACGAAGCGTTCGATCGCGCGCCAGCGACGGACCCCGATCGTCCCCAAAAACGAAACAATTCCGGAACTGATTACGTAATTTCCCACTCAGTCGCGTCGAACCGATAATTCTCGCCGCGTTCAGACGATTCCCAAGGGAAAACGTATTTTCAAGCGCGGCTTCGCGACGAAAGATCGAGAAACTCGATCCACGAACAACGAGCACGATGTTCGCATTATTTAACGCGTGAATCACTGCCTCTGCGAATTTCCACGAAAAGCGGCGAAACTGTGCCGTTTTCACCCGCGAACTCTCTCCGTCTCTGTCTCCATCGAGGCAAAACACCGATGTTTACGTCTCTCCGCACGCGTCGCAGTAATCGCGGCTTGGAAAACACCGTTCGACGCTGGTGCACGCGAGTCTCACGTGTTCCGTCCAACTCCTCCAACCCCGTAATTCGAATCAGGGACTGCTCTAATTTATCCAAACGGAGGGAAGACGAATAAAATATCCGACGAAAGAAAAAGATGCGAGATTCTCGATAACCTGACGCGGAGATGTGTTAAACAAAGAATACCCTATTCGAGCAAACGTTCGTTAAACAGGAGCAAATATGCCGACAATTTTCTAACTTGTACGAAAAGGTAGTTTGACGATAAAAGTCGCGACAAGATGGTCGATTCGTTAGCGACGGAAGGTTTGGACCAGCATTTTTGCTCGTCGTTCGTTAGATTTCGACGGGAATTGCAACACCGAAGGAATCGCTTGGCAACTAACCTCGCACCTAAAACAAAGATTCATCGAATCCGCGAGGCAAGTTGGCTTGAAAATGTATCGCAAGGTTGCGAAAGCAGCGCGACGCGACGATTCGGTAAAGACACGTGGACGGTTTGCCGGAGAAGGTAAGAGAGTCCCAGAGGTCTCGAGGAAAGCCGTGAAAGGAAGCGACGCGATACCGGAAGGACCGCGGACCAGGCTCGCGGAAGCATCAAGCACGGCAACGTCGAACCGCTGAAAAGCGGGAATGCGGCATATGGCACGGCAAACACCACTCTCGGAAGCGTTACAAGCGTTAAGCTCAGCCAAGAAGCGTGAACCGTTAAAACTAGACCACTTGGACCACTAGACTAGTTCGGCGCTCGCGAAAAAGGGGCAAAGTCGAAAACCACCTGTCCGGAAGGGGCCTGCAGGTAAGTCGAGACATCCGGTTCCACCATGCAGCTCCTCAGCGTATCCGGGATGAACATGAGTAGCTGGGACGTCGGCTGTGGTACAGGCTGAAGCCGGCTTGCACCGCGCTGACGATCCTCCAGCGAGCGCGCGCCCGCGGACAGCGTCGTCCTGACGTTGTGGCGCGTTCGCGATCACCGAGTAACGGCCGTCAGATCCGTCGGATCCGTCGAGCAGCCGATGACTCGACTACGCGATGCACCGGGTGGACCAGGAGTTGGACCAGCGAACCGCAGAGCTTGAGGAGGATTCGCGAGCTCCCTGGAGGTGGGAACGTGTCCTCGAGCTGGTCCAGGCGAGCCTTCGTTTCTGTCTTTGCCGTTTCGCGATCGTCCTCGAAATCCGACGGTCGTCCAAGTCTGGCGAGTACTCGTGGGCCGGTTGGTCGGGTGTCCAACGACCGCCGCGAGGCGTGTTCCTCCCCTGATCGCGCGCGATCGCGCACCTATCGGCGTGGTTGGCGGTACCGCGGTATCGTTCGCTCGGAAAAGTCACCGCGGAACCGGTCGCGTCGCTGACGATGTTGGTGCTGGTGGTCGCGTCGTTGCTGAACCGTCGGCTGTCGGGTGGTGGTGGAACACCGCACCCAGGCACACGCATCCTATCTAACCACGAGCCCACAACTCCTGACTCTCGACTTTAGGCCCTCTCTGTGCTCTCTCGTGGCACGCAAGACGGCTCGCTCGCTCGCACTCTCTTTCCCTCTCTCGCTCTCCCTAACCCCTCTCTCCGGGTTCGCCGTTTTCCCTACCCTTCTCCCTCTGCTCGACGATCCTCTCCCTTCCTTCGCGACCGGCTAACCCTTACGCGCGACTTTCCTTCCCTCTCTTTCCACGACTTCTCCTCGTGCAGCTCTTTCGCAACCCTATTTTTTTCCAGACTCTCCTCGAGCTCGATTCCCCCGTGTTCCTCTCCGATTTCCTCGTTCGGCCACGGAGACGATACGTCTCTTGCCAGCACGTCGACGGACGAGCACGACGACGGACCGCGTCGAGACCACGGACAACCGGGTGTTCCCTCTCGGTTCCTTCTAGCCTTCCCGTTCCCGATCGGGAGACGCCAGGCCCCAGACTACGCCGACTCCGAGCCACCGACGCTGCGTCGGCGTAAAAAGCATCGGCGTCGCGCAAGCTCGCCGGGAGCGCGCCGCGAGGACGCCTCGACGCGATACGCGTCCGGACCTAGAGGGAGAAAGAAAGATAGGATGACACGAGACCAGGCCAGTGGCGTATTGGTATTATCCTATAGGCCAGGGGTGCGCAACTTAAATCGCGGACGCGCGACCATTACTCGCGATTAACCCTACCGATACCAACTCTTTTTTTTTTTTTTTTTTTTTTTTTTCGATACACGGACCATCGGGACTGAAGGATACTCCAAGCTTGGCTACTCGAAATCTATAATGTTTCGCTTCGCGACGATCTTTACGAATATCCACCTAAACTTTAGTAAAGGAAATAAAGTTAAGCGAGTAAAGGAAATTTCTATTCGTTTTTCAGCTCTCGGGAACACGTAGAACGCGTCACTTAGCAAACTCGTGGAATAACAGGAAAATTTCAAGCGGGATAAGTTTACGGAACAAGATGGTACCCCCGCGAAACGGACCGATAAAAGTAATCGAATCTACGTGGAATCCGAGACGAGACTATGAAAACCGAGCTACCCTTCGAAATACGTAAGAGACCGACAAACCTAATCTCGCTATTTAGGACAATTGCAAATAAAGCCAAGCTCTTTCTTTCCGTGGACGTATAGCTATAGAAATGTTCGTTGTCGCGTATCGAAGACGAAGAAGAAAGAGCAACCTACTCCAAAAAGGAAATGAATCGAACGTTAACATCGGAAGATTAGGAACCGCGCTAGATACGCGCAAGGATGAAACGGAAGAAGAGAGGTAGCGCGAGACGAGGGAGAGGTGGAGAGAAGTTAGGAAAACTCTCGCGCTAATCGTAAGCTTCTATTTATCCGGCTCGTTTTCGTCTACCTGCCTCTTCCCTCGCGGGCTATCTACAGCCAGCGTCGCAGCCAGTCCCTCTGCCGTGTATTTTTGGGCGCTCGTTAGGAATTAGCGCTAGCGGACCTCGAAGGTCTCCGCTAGCAACCGAGTTCTCCACCCTTTCCTCCGCCTTCTCGGGGATCAACGAGCCTAAACCTCCCTCCTCCCGTTACGGCCAAACGTTCTCCGAGCCGCGGGTTAGGGGTTCCAAACGACGCACCCCCGCCACGGAAGTTTGTCAACAATCTTCCGGGACGAGGATCACCCTCGAAAATAGCACGGCTGGAACGCGGTAATCTCGAGGTCGCGACCACCGCGAAACGAGATTACCAGCCCCCTTTTAAACCGCCACCCTCCTGGGCTGCGCAGAGCTCGAGGAAGTTCGTAACTGGCCGCGAGACGACCGCGGGCTTAAAACTTTCCGCGGAGAGGATTCCGTTCGGGTGCTTCCATCTACTGTTCTCTCGTTATTCCTCTCTTTCCCGGACCAATTCTTAGCGATTTTACTCTTTCCTACCGTAATTGCTACGCGACGATTCTAAACACCGAATTATCAGGATCCAGCGATCTTGGATCGACTTGGATGTCTTTCAATTACCCACTGGAAGAGTCTCTCTCGTAACACCAGGCGTGTCGGAACGAATCGTCGATTTTCGAAAAAGCCCGAGGTAAGAGAATCACTGTCACCAACAACTGCACAATGACACGGGTAAACTGATCGAAACGCGCGTGGACATCGCGACGATGCCTCGAGGCTGGAAAACTCGCGGACTGCCGTTGGTGAACGGCATCGCCGTGCGACTGGCCTCTGTCGGGGCACCCTACCCCGTGGAAAGAGGAGTCACCGCGAACGTGACGGATTCCGTGATTCCAAGTGGCCTTTGTGCTTTGCATGGCGCGTATGCAGACGCAGACGCCCGGAACGGCTTGCGAAGAAACGCGACAACTTTGCGTTGCGAGAACTGAACCGGTATCGGTGTGTTTCTACGCTAAAAGATACGTAACTTTTGAAATATGACTAGAATGCTAGAATAAAAGAAAAACATGCAACTTATCGCCGGAAAGAAGCAAAGGAATTCCGAGAGTACAACGGATACGTCTTGACGATGCTTCTTCTCGTTTATTTATATTTACATTAGTATTAAATCGTACGGTTACAATGATTCGTAAGATAAATAGAATTTTATAAATGCAAAAGGAATTGCACGCTTTTCGCATACACCACCGACTCATTCCCACGGTTCGTTCGAAAAGACGCTTTTCGAGAAAGCAAATGTCAATCTTCGACCGCCTAAACAGGAAAACACGTACAAGAATAAAAGATACGTGACCACGACCTATCTATCGAAACTGGAAACCAGAACAATCGCGGCGTTCTCCTCGAGTTCTAACACGACTCTCGCTGGAAATTAGTGAAAATTCGTTAACGCGTGATACTTTGTTCGTTATAAATATACGATACGGCGATAAAGATATAACTTTCCTCGTAATTACAATAAAATGTACCTCCTAGCTCCTTAGCGTTATCGTAACGATCGAGATAAGTGTAATAACAGTCCCTCGATCGCTTTGCTATGCTAAATAGTGTTTTGGCAGTTGTTCGACAAATTACGGTATCCAGTCACGGTGGACGTCAGTTGCTTTTATAATTACTAGTGTCAACGATGCTCGATATAACCGATAACTTCGCGATTAGGAATGACTCTTAAAAATTCCCTGGTATCCGACGAAATAAACTTTCCTATCGTGCTACATTTTCGTTCCCATTGTGCTACACTTATTTGTAAAAGTACGCGATGTTACCGTTAAATTATAAGTGTATCGTTCAACGGATCACCCAAGTACCTTGGTAAAAAGAAGGTCCGCTCGTGAAAAGATCACTCAAACGTCAGTCTGTGTATCTACGGTTTACGAACAACTTCGTCGTTGGTGAGTTGCCATAAAAATGTACGCTATGGACTGATTATGCAAAAATTCATAAAACGACTACGAGATTGAAAAAGTCTAAACTCGAAAGGCCTACCTGATTCCTCCTACGAAACAACTATCCTCGTCGCTTGTAAAGTTTGTAAAGTAGTTTTCGCAATTTCGTCGTGTTCGATATTTATATCCCAGATTTAAAGAACATTAAAATTAGTTTTAGAACGACGCTTTTTGAACAGATGCCAGTTCACCGTTTCGTTTCCTTCTTTGAAAGAAAGAAATACACTCTCTTCGATGCGATCTTTTCCTACCATTCGCGATTACGCATTCGATTAATATACCGTTTTGTACTTACATGTACGTCAGACTTGTTATTCGTTACACAGCTGGAGATAACGTCGATCGATCGAGAAAGTTATTTAACGGATTTTGTAATCGGAGAACAACAGGGATTGTTATTCGGATAAAGGGCTGCTTAGAGTAATTTAGGAAGATATCCTAAAAGTATTTCTAACTGTTATTAACCAGCGTAGTTTACGAGCATTGTTACTTTTAGTGACCTGGAATTTGCAATTATTGCTATGTTCGTAACACACCATGTCCCAGGAATTAAAACTGAAAACAATAATATCGTTAAACGAGCGATATCACATTTTATTCTTAACCCGTATTATATACTGACCCTTTTTAAGAATTCTTCCGCGCATATGCGAGCTCTAGCGTTCATCGACAATTTCATTTCGCTGATCTCTCTGTCGATCTCTTCCATGAAATGAATGATAAAGTCTACGATTTTGTGTTTGTACATTTGTTCTACGTGGATGTTTGTGATTAAAAAACTAATGTCGTAACCCTATGAAACGAACCCAATGTTATCGAACCTGTTTGCACGAATCTCTTCGTTAATACTCTGCAAATTTAAACGACAGTTACCTCTATCGGCTTCCTCCTAAGAATAACAAAGTGTTCCGCTCTCATTGTCATGAATCTTGTGAAATTATGACACAGAATCTTTTCTAAATCGTCTGCTTGTTTCACAGCGATGCTTATTCTCATACTGTTTATACTGGACTCGATCAGCACCTTCTCCTTGTCGTTTCTACTTATCAATATCGGAGTAAGAAGGAGCTCCTTACTCGCTCTAACTTCGACTTCGGGTTTATTGTGCTTCTCGACGATTTGAGATGAAAAATTTTCAAGACACATAGCGGCGGTGAGAGTTCGCCTCACTGCTGTCAGATAAGGCTTCAACGTTCCCGACTGTAAAAAGATACGAATTAACAGTTACGACGATATTTCGATAATTCGTGTACAAGCGCTTTATTTTTATCTTTGACACGACGAATAAATTCCAAATTTCGAACCAAATTTCGTTACGCCGACATTCTGTCTAACCAATGAGAAAATCTATCGGTTCGTGAAATACAAATCATCATAACCTATATCTCGCGAACCGAGATTATTGTGCTTACCATCTTGTAAAGAAGCTACGAAAATCTCGCGTCCCGTCTGAAATCTATCAGTGTCGTACACCCTCCGACGGTTCACTTTTTCTATAAAAGATTCACGGAAACACGTGAAAGATGACACATTACGTTCTATACATATCAAGGGGGGTTGGGTTCGGCCGGTTTGACTTCAACAGCGCGGGGCGTGTTCCTAAGTTCACTGATAACGAGGACACACTCGTATCTCTCTACTGTCGCACGAAACTCCGGTAAGAACGTATCCTAAGAAAGAATCATCGCGATATCTTTACGTATACGTTTGCATTCTTGCATTACGCGTAATGAAATGTGTTACACGGATGACGATTGGCAAATTCCGTTATATGCTAACGATGAAAAATCCGTGCCATTAATCGTAAGGCTTTATTGTTTCAACTGTGTTACAAATGGTTCCTGTCTTTTATCAACGTTCTCCCAACTGTTCCTCAACGTACTCGAAACGTATGATAAATTCACTAGTAGCAACTAAATGAATACGTGATAATTTTTTGAGTCATTATTGTTCTCATTAAGTTCTATGACTCTTGTAATTTTATATCTACGTCATTGTTCGCTATCAGAATTTTATCTACTGTATTTCGAATTTTGTAATACGTGCGCGACTGACAAATGCAGTCTTGCTCGGTACATTAACGAATCGATACAATAAATAAATAAATATAATTTATTCTGGATTCGATATATCGAAATGAATTACTGTTTCTCTCTTTGAAATGTATTACAATGTAAAACCAAAGTTTATAGTTCCCATTATTACTGCTAGATGACGCCACCAATATCATTGACATCGCCATCTAGCGTTGAAGAGGTCGAACTAATTTTAGGAATTTGGTCAGCGCCTCTATCGGGAAAACGCCCAAGTTTGTCCTCGAATAGTTTCTATTTTCACCACTAGATGGCGCCATTTACACTGTTTT